GTTCACTCATGATGGAAAAGTCTTCACCCGTGTCGACTAAGGTCGTCACTTCAAAGCCATCAATCATGACAGTGAGGTCGGCAGTCACAGTTTTCTCGGCGACATCCTCATTGTCGTCTATCACGTGTTTCGGAAGCAGTGGGGGATTTTCGGCAATTCGATGGTTTGCAATCTTTCCCCCAGAAGTTGCTGCTTTCAGTTTCCCCGCCGTGGGCTGGAAGACCGACTTCTGACGGCGACAGCCAAACTACGGTGGCTTGGTGAAGCAAAACAAGCTGGATATGGTGAGCGCGTCCGGAAGGTAGCCGAGCTTTTCCGCCAGCCAACCTGGTCGTCGTCGATGAGGGCACGACATTCGTGACACTGTCGCCGCGTAGCGGCAGGTGTACTCTCACGGTATTCAGCTCCGCGATGTGGGCGAAAAAGATTATTGTGCCTGGCTCTCCACAGTTGTAGCAGAGTGGTCGGCGGTCCGTAGTGCGCCAGATGTCGATCTTCCGCATATAGGCTGGCCTGACAGAATCCTGCTGAGCCCAGGCTGCCACAGGATACGGTTCGAGGTACTGCGGCGCTGGCATGGGCGTGGGTCGATGAACAAAGTCTGCATAGCTATATCCATTCGGCTGGTAGGATACTTCTAGAGCCAATGGCGTCGACGTAGGGATACGAGTTAGGATGGTACGGAGGAGCGGAATATTGCTCAGGAGAGGCAAACGCTTGTCAAGTTCAAGGCGAACGACTTCAGCGACGGAGGCAGCCATAAACTCCTGCTGCGGGAGCGCTTGTGGCTGCAATGTGTAAATTCGCAATCTCCTCACGCACAGTCTGTCGAATCAGGTGGCGTAGCGAAAACTCGTCTTTTGCGGTAAGTGCGGCGGCGCCTGCAGCTGCGCCGGTGGCCGGGCGATAACAATGACGGTACCATGGCTGCAGCGCACGCTCTATTGTGGTGGCCTTTCTGATGAACTCACCCACTGTTGTTGGCGGATTGCGCACAAGACCAACAAACAGCTGCTCTCAGGCGTTCCTCATGAGATGGCTTAGCTTTTGGACCTCGGGCATGTTTGGGTCCTCGCGGTGGCATAAACGCACCATATCCTCAGCAAACATGGCGACGATTTCATGCAGCTGTTGGGTGCGTGCCTCAAGAAGATGTGCGTTTTTGCGTTGGTCCGCGTTACCAAAGGTGTCAGGAAACCGACGTCAAAACTCCTGCTATGTCATCAATCTTGCCTCGCGGTTGATAAACCACGTCTTCGCGCCGTATTAAAGGGCGAAGTATACGTGGAAGAGCTTCTTATCGAGACCCCAGTAGTTCGATTTAGCTACCCTTCGCATAAAAACTCGCCTCGATCATGCAAAACTTCGGACGACATGAAATTCCCCGCATTGCTGCCACAAGACCAACACTGCACACTCCTCATCGTGAACGACAATCATGATGGCGTTAGTGCTACACTAACTGAGCTACGTGATAGGCTTCGGCTCCTCAGGGAACGGCAGTGCGTCAAGAAAGTGATTAGTAAATGTATTGTGTGCGTGCGATTTTGTGTAAATTCTACTGCGACATCATCAGCTCCTCTTCCGAAGGACAGTGTTTCCCAGTCACAACATTTTCAAGTCAGCAGCGTTGACATTGCTGGGCCTGTGTTTGGGAAAGAAAATTACACTGTGAAAGCCTAGATTGTCGTGTTCCCGTGTGCAGTAGTGAGAGCCGTTCATTTGGAGTCATGTAGTAATATGACTGTTCATTCATCTCTGCTGGCTTTTCGGCCTTTTGTAGCGCGACGGGGCATACCAAGTGTCATATATTCTGATAACGCTCTAACGTTTAGAGCAGCTAGTTGGTAATTCGAGTCCATCTACGAAATTTTACGAGACGTTCAAGTCCAGAATTTTAGTGCGATGAGCTACATCACGTGAAAATTTACTGTTGAGCGTGCTTCATGGTGGGCAGGATTCTGGGGAAAGATTATACGAACGGTTAAAGGCTGCCTTCGGAAAACATTAGGACAGTGCAGCTTCTACTTTGAGCAACTGAGTACATCTTTAGCAGAAGTCAAGACCGTGGTCAATTTTAAACCATTAACATACATTTAAGCTAAGGCGAAAGAACCTGAAGTTCTTACACCCGCTGATTTGTTAGCTCTTCGATGAAAAACTAGCCTACTTCACCATTACGTTCTGATAACGGTAATGAAACGCACTCCAAAAGGACTGTCTTCTCTCCTGCTCTTCCTGCTTCACGATATGTTTTTTTCGCCTCAGTCTTCTGCACCAAATGAAACGCACAGGTACACTGCGCCTGTGGAGAGAACGTCAGCGCAGGCTAACCACTTGCTGGAACCACTGGTACAAAGAATACCTACCAGCAGATGCGCTCACTTCAGAAAGGATTAAGCAATGAAAATTGATTTAAGTGTTGATTACATTGTACTGATAAGCGATGACAAAGTGCCTATATCATTTTGGAAACAGAAAGGATTTGTAAGCTATACGAGGGTACGAAGGCACATGCTAGGGCACACAGAATCCAATGAGCAAACAACATCGAGATTACGAGGCCGATACAACTCCTGCCTCCCCTGGAATTATGCAAGTGAAATTGACGGCGGCGGAGGATGTAGGAAATTGCGGTAAGAGATGAAGAAGAAAAGGTAGTGGAACAGATGCTGTTTTGTGCTCTTGGATAGTTCGAAGGTACGCCATGTTTGGAAGGAATTGCGAGCAGCGCCAATAAATGCTAGCTTTTCCACCGCATATTTGCCTATCCCCTAGAGACGATGTGGTACTAATAATACAACAAAGGGACGAGTTTGGGTGAATCAATGTATCGATCAGTATGACCTGTGTTGAAGTGGTCAGGGACGAGCAAGAAGGCAGGAGGCTGGGTTACGTGGACACAGATTTATTCCTGAACCGCGTTCTAGCCTAGTACCCGGCCACGCGCCACGTACACCTCGATCACACGCGGTCACTGGCTTCACCTGGCTTGTCCTAAATGGCAGCATCTACAACATCTACCAATGAAATCGAGTGACGTTCGCTGCAGCAGGTGGCTTCACGCTCCTGCCACTTCTGGTATGCCCGTGGGAAGTGTCCTGGCAACGCGAGCGAGTGTCTATAGAATAATCACTGATACTGGCCCTATCTGCGTTGTTATCACTTCGGGAATACGGGACTAGCTCCGCCCGGTTTCTACGCCGAGCACCAGTGTCGGTGTTGACCTAATAAGATCGAGGCTCATCGGCTGGGGCTTGTACTGTCCCTTTGCTCTTGAGGTCTGTCACCCACATGGCATCTCCATAAAGATGTTCCGGCAGGTCACAGACTCCATGACGTCTGTCGAAGTCTTTCCTTTGACGTTGTCTGTACCTTTCCTCAAAATTCCGGAGGCTGTCTTGATCTGGCCATTGGGGTGTCAGCTTGGTGGAACACAGAGAAAACCTGGATCTCAGCCGACGACCCATGAGCAGTTTGGCAGGGCTATATCCATTCTTTAAAGGAGTCGACCTGCAAGCTATAAGTGTCGGGTAAGGGTCCTTGGTTTTCGTCGTGGATGTCTTGATGATTTTCACTGTAGCCTCTGCAAGTCGATTACTCTGAGGATAGTGAGGGCTAGATGTAATGTGCTTGAAACCATAGTTTTGGGCGAAGAGTGAAAACTCAGTCGACGAAAACTGTGGGCCATTGTCGGAAACCACTTCCTCGGAAATTCCATGGCGTGCATAAATTGACTTGCAGTGGCTGATTATGGCTGCAGAAGTACGCTTCTCAAGTCGAACTAGTTCGAGGTATCTTGAGTAATAGTCGGTAGCTATCAACCACCACTAATTCTTGAAGTGAAACAAATCCATCGTAATGCGTTGCCAAGGCCTCTTGGGAATTCGGAGCTTAATAGTGGCATTTTTCTGTTTACTCTTGTTTCGATGCATTGCTGACATCGCTTCACCAGGGACGAGACGTCAGATCTTATGGTCCCCACCAGACACAGGCTCTAGCTCGAGCCAATGTTTTCGTTATGCCAAAGTGTCCTTCGTGCAAGAGTCGTATGATTTCTTTTCGGCATGAGTCGGGGACGACAACTCGCGATGGATAGAGCAGTAAATCATTCTCGACAGTGAAATGGTGTCGGTGGTAATAGAATGGTTTTAGGTTAAGTCCTAAGTCTCTGATGGAGGGCTATTCTTTCTCACACAGCAGACGAAGTTGTGTGCAAATAGGGTATCCATGTCGGGATGTTTTTAACCATTGTGAACAATGTCGCTTTAACAGAATAGAGGTTGTCATAGAGCACAGGAAACCTTCCACACTTTCTTTGAGCTCGCTGTCTCCCGTCTCTCGCAGAGGCGCTTTCGAAAGTGCATCTGCGGCTAGAAGTTCCTTGCCTGGTACGTATGCAACCTCATATCAATATCGCGTCATTCTCATCTTTAGCCACTGTAATCTAGACGTCAAGTCGTCAAACTCTTTGAAGTGAAGATTGGAACCAACGGCTTGTGATCCGTCTTTAGCTTGAACAGCTTACTAACAAGGTAATCGCTGAATTTATCGCATGCCCAGACTAAAGCAGCAAGAGCACCTTTTTCAATCTGAGAGTAGCGTCTCATAGTTTCTGAGAGTAACCTCGAGGCGTAAGCGATCACAGAAAACTTGCCATTGGTTTGCTTCTGCCAGATTAATACTCCCAGTTCGAATGATGCGTTGGCGGTGACGACTGTTTCTTTTAATGGGTCATAGACGCCAAGAACAAGACGAGATTAGAGCACCAACTTCCACCTGCTGAATGCCTGCTCTTGTGGAGAACCCCAAACAAATTCTTGCTTTTTTGACAACAGGAGTGTGAGCGGCTGCAGAATATCAGAGAGATTAGGAAGGAATCTCGTGAGGTATGTTGCCATTCTGAGAACTCTCTCCAGCTCAGTTCTGTTTTTGGGACTCTCCAGTTTTATTATGGCTTCAACCTTCTTTTCATCGGGTCTTCTTCTGTATTCATCGAGCTAGTGTCCTAGGAATGTTAGGCGCCGAACATTAAACACGCACTTGCTGTCGTTCAGTGTCACTCCAGCCTTTGCAAGGGCCTGCAGCACGTTTCGGAGCGTCTCATTGTGCTCTTGGCTGTTGGAACCTCGAATGAGGATGTCGTCCATATGACAGACAACTCGAAAGATGCCTTGCAATATGTAGGCCATCTGCACCTGGAAGTGTTTATTCAGAACCTGACGCAATCCAAAATGGTAGTCGGTTGAAGAATAAGCACCAAACGGTGATATGAAGGTGAGTTTCCTTGATTCTTCACAAAGTGGAATTTGCCAAAATGCAGAGTTGGCATAAACTTTGGAGAATACCTTAGCTCCGTGAAAAAGTCCGAGAGTGTGCTCCACGGAAGGAATAGGATGCCAATCTTTGAGAACGTGGCAGTTCAGCTCTGTAAAGTCGACGCATATTCTCATGTCTCCAGAGGGCTTTGGGACGACTACCATTGGTGCACACCACTCGGTCGGCTCATCAACAGGTGATATGACACCGAGTTTCTGCATCCTTTGAAGTTCCAACTTTGTTTCCTCGTACAATGGAATTGGCATGCAGCTCGGGGAGCTGAGTGCGAAAGGTTTTGCTCCTGGTTGAAGCTGAATCCTGTGTTTTTTGAGCAGCTTGCCGAGTCCTTGGAACACCACTAGAAATTCTTCTTTCGGGTTCACTTTGTTCGTAACGGCGTTTACAAAGGTCAGAATCTGTAGCTTTTTGATGGCTGGCTTGCCTAGCAATGGAGTGCAGATCTGATCTAAGACGTATATATCCTGAATAGTCCCGTGGTTGCGGTAGATGAGGTGAAGTTGAGCCACTCCTGCTGCTCGAAGAAGCTTACCATCTAAGCCATGCAGTTGACGAGGAGCAGCTGATAGAAGCGGCCTGTCCTTGAGCGTCTGAAATACGTGCGTCGAAAAGACGGTTTCGTTGGCACCAGTGTCAATTTTGAAGTCTACTGGCTGGCCTTGATCCAAGATTGTTGTTTCCCAGTTTCCAGTATCTGTCGTCTTGACTGCTACATGAAATCCTGCTTCTAAAGTTCCGTGCTCGGTTTCGACACAATCGAGGCGTCGCGAGAGGCATACCGAGGCATAGTGACATCTCTCCCGGCAGTTCCTGCAGACTTCCGAGCGTTCTGAGCAGAGAGTGCGGGAGTGACGCTCTTGACCACACCAACGGCACGGCTCCTGCTCTCTGTTTTTACCGGAGAGTGAAGATGGCTTGCTGGCCCCGTGTAGATAACTGCCGCTTTTGTCTTGCATTGAAGCCCGTCGACTGGTTTGCGCACTGAATGCAACTTTGTTCAAAGATGGCACTTCCTGTTGGAGCTCGAATCGTTGCTGACGGACACTTTTGATATGGCTAATGGAATCCAGAGCCTTTTGTAGTATGAGCTCTGCGTAGAGCTGCAACCTGGCGGATAGCTGCTTGTCTTTTATCCCAACCACGAAGCGGTCACGAACGAACTCCTCTCGAAGAGCACCGAACTCGCAATCTTTCGAAAGCGTGTGAAGCGCAGTGACGAAATCTTCAGCCGACTCACCATCTTGTTGTAGCTTGGTGTTGAATCTGGCTCGTTCGAAGATTACGTTGCATCGCGGAGTGAAATACTTGTCGAACTGCTCCACGACGGCGTCGAATTTCTTGGAGTTTTCTTCGGATAAAGCGAAGGTGGCGTAGATTTCATCGGCTTGCTCATTCATGATGTAGAGTTCATTCATGATGTAGAGTTCATTCATGATGTTGAAGTCGTTAGAGACGAGCGAGAAGGCAGGAGGCTGGGTTACGTGGACACAGGTTTATTCCAGAACCGCGTTCTAGCCTAGGAGCCCAGCCATGCGCCAGGCGCACCTCAAGCACACGCAATGACCGGCTTCGCCTGGCTTGTCCTAGATGACAATCAATGTATTGATCAGTATGACCTTTATCGAACCCAATTAAAAACTGCTGCGAAGTCCACCGATTTTCAGCGCTGCCAAGCAGTTACCTCAGTAGTCCCACCCCATCTGATCACGTGGTCACACGAAATGGTGACGCGATTCTTAGTTGACATTTCGTATGCTCGGCGCACTCGTGTATAGGCATGTATTCGCCACCTATTGTCTTCGCTGCTGTCATCACCGTCCACAAGCGACGATGAAAACACTGAGGAATATAAAATCACGATGATTCACACCGCGGCGAATCATTTTCGGTTCAACCTTCCTCTGGGCAATTATTCTGAAATCGAAGCCGGACCAAGAAGCGACGAGGCAACTGGAGACGCACGCTCGGGCCGCGCTCACTGATTAGACACACTGCACGCATCTCGCTTGTTTGCGATGACCGTATCTTCAATAATCGCATTAACGCTTCCGACAAATTACTCCAAGCGGTGCAACAAAAACGCAGGATTGACACGATCTCAACAGCCAGCAAGCGAAACGAAGCGATTTATTTGCGGTTTGTGTGCACAGAAAACACAAAGACACAGAGCACAACGCCTGCCTGCTCCTTCGGAAGGGGAGGCATAGAGGAAAGGAAGGCTGAAGGAAACAAAAAAATAAGAGGAGCAAAGTAAAAAAAGCAATCACAAACACGCAACCACAAATAAGACGTCACGTGAAAAATGTCTATAAGCGCAGTGCCAAGTCTGTTTTCTTTACGATAGTTGAAAGGGCTCAATCAGCCTATATAGTCACGCCAAGAAGCACATCTTGCGGAGAACAAGGAATCGTCAAGGGTCGTGCACATAAGTCGAACCAGTCCATAGTCCTTTAAAGCAGTGATCACTTCACAACGAATGTAGGGCACTCTAATACCTATGTCACACGGGTACTTTTAATTGTGATCAGGGCGATCTGCATCCGTTTTCTTGATCGCGATAAACTATTTATGACCTCTGCTACACGGCCCAAGTTAACATGGTTTGAGCTTAGGTCGCATTAAGTGCAGCAGGTGGCGCTTGCGTGCCGTAAACTATGTCACTGACAAAACACGGCATAAGATATTTACCAGCAATTAGTCTTATTCGTGTAAAAACCGCTCATGCGTAAAAAAATTCCGCTGATCCCACGTACCTGACAATCGACGTTATGCGAAGCATGTGGAGGAAAGGTGACCGTATTGTAATTTTTTATTGAGCGACACGTCATTAAATGACGCTAAATATATCGGCGAATGTTCCACGCACAGAGATATGTGGAAGAGTTACAGATGTTTAGAAAAGTAGTTGTTTGCACTTGCGCAACGATGTTAACCGGAACATGCGTACCAGCAACACCATAAGCTCATATAAAGTGCTGATGCTCGCGAGGATGCTGGCTCTGGACACTGCTATAAAAATCAACTTCAGCGCATGGCAAATAACCACAATGGACGTTAACCCGACGTAACGGTTTTATCAAAGGAGTACATATGTAATGTTTATAAAAGTGGGTAGGCAGTGCTGGAACCACTATTGACGTTTCACGAACATTAGCAGCTATTAGAAAAGTAGTTACGAAACCTGGCGTAGCTCTGTGGTAAAATGCTTCATTGCCACGCAGAATGCTTGGGTTATTTTCCACTTGGGACCCTGACATTGGCTACCGATGTCAGGCATTTCTTAACGCTCGCGCGTTAAAATTGCTCATGTGTGTTTGTGTCGTTCTTGGGTAGATACTAAGTGTCAATCACCTGTGGCACATACCCGCATACCAGCGGTACATACCCACCAGTCAGTATGTGCCACTGTCTGGCTGAAAGTGTTCGACGACGTACGCGATGGCATTGTGAAAATATTCATGTCTTGTCCAGCGCTTCATATTCGTCAAGCCATGTTACCTCCGCATGCTGATTTTGGGTTCCCGTCAAGTTAAGGGGGGGACCATGAGAGCATTCAAACGTAAGCGGCTAGATAGACAGATACGCTTAAAGTCGCCAAAGCTCGCTAAGAAATGCTTCAAATTTAATATTTATTTTATTTTCTACTTTTCAAACCTAGTAATATTGTGTCTTGAACAACTAAACCAACGCTGCTACAGTTGTCGTATTGGTGGTTAGGTACACTCGACGTTTCCGGGCATTATCATAATTTCACGTCACGAGAGGTACAAACATATCAAAACATCACTTAAAAGGGCACTAAAAAGAAAGAATGAGTTATTTTACAATGGTAAACTGCACTTCAAGAATTCTAATGTCATAGGCTCATTATTATCGGAGAAAATCAAATTTGAAGTCTTCTATTAAATTTCGCGCAAGATGTCTGAGCGTGACGTAACAAATTTCACAAAGTATTTTTAGTCGTCGAAGTTCGCCACGAAATGCTTTGCATTTAAAACGCATCGGGAGCGACGTGGCACAATACCTTCAACGATCTGGGTAGTGAACACAGAATTCTCAGGACGACCATACCGCGCGATAACGACGCAACTAGATCATTTAATGGAACAAAACGCCTTGCTGACTAGGACAAATTCAGAGCGATAAGATGGCAGTCATCTTCCCCGCCGACATCCAATATAAAGAGGTGGTGTGAAAACGTGATAAGGAGTGCCCGCCAGGCAACGGAGGAAGCGACGACGGACACTCCCATAGACAGGCTATACAGTAAGATTTTACGCCTACGACAGGCGAAAGAGTCACTTCAAGCGAGATGGAAGAAGTAGAGACATGAGGCTTATTGCACGCGACTAAACAAACAACAATGGGAAGATATCTGTAGAGACATAGGCAGGCAGCTTCAAGCTTCTCAAACGTGGAACTTGTTGCTTCGGTTCCGTTTGGACCCAAGAAATACTAAAACAAAACAGAATCATGTCATTCGCAAGTTAACGTGAAATCACGAGGGAAATGAGGAGCAGTTAATCGAGTATCTAAATGCCCTTTACACAGATTCCACCTGTGCGACACCCAGATTACTCATACGGCGCCAATTCAACGCTAGACCAGAAATTCAAAACGGTTGAGATAAGAGCGGTATTTCACGAATTAAATCTAAAATCGGCGACGGGGCCGGACGGTGTAGCGAACCGCATGCTGCGAAACCTGAACGAGGACTCTGTAGAATTTTTAATCGAGTTATATAAACGAGTGCTGCATCAGTGTCGAGATACCCGAGTCATGAAGAGAAGCTACAGCAATCTTAATTTCTAAACCAGGCAAACCAATACACAAACCTAACCTCACGCCAATTTCGCTCACGCCGTCAGTGGGAAAGCTAATGGAGCACGCATTTTTCTGTAGAGTAAACGACTACCTAGAGGATGGCGGTCACTACCCAGATACAATGGTAGGCTTTAGACGGCACTTGTCTACACAGAACGCTATGCTGCAACTTAAGCACCAAGTTCATCACTCCATAAACGCAAATGCGTTTACCATCTGGATAGCCGAGGGTATAGTGATGGCTACACTGTAAAACGCTTATCATCTATGGTCTTCCCTATTCGGAGCAATTGTTGCTTCGGACAGCCGGAGCGAAATTTTTGCTCCGGCTCGCCCAGCAATTGTGTGACGTGCGAGGAGTGTTTTTAACAGATATTTCACTTCGGCCGACAAGGAGCAATTGTGTGGCGCCACTGGAGTATTTTCACTGGAATTTTCCTCCGCTGTTCCGAGTGATTACGTGCACCTCTGGAGCATTTTTTCGCGGGTTTTTCATTTCGGATATCCGACCTTTTGCGTGGTACCTCCGGAGTATCTTACGATTGTACTTGCTTCGTCCGGACAGAAGTTCAGTGAAGTGGATCAGTACTTTTTTAAAGTGTTTGCTCCGCTGTTTATTTATTGTATGCTGATCATTTCATGCATTAGTTAGATGAAAAAACTCTCAATTCTCATTCAAGCACAGCCAAGTTACTGTGTATTCTTTTCCAGGGAGCTATATCACATGAAATTCAAGTTAACACTTGAGTTCTTATTCTTTTATTTCTTAAAAATAGGCTGCCATTTCTGGATGATTACCCAGCATTTGGCAAAAAGAGACAAGAATAAAAAAACATGTAAAAAGCCGCCAAAAACAAAACACAGTAACACAGATCCCATTGAATCAACACCACTTAAGTTTAATGTGCAGCACTTCAAAATGAAGCCCATAATGCTGCAAAACGATGCACGACAAACGAAGAAAGCGCAGCCACCGGGAACAACAATTCACCATTCCCGAAGGACCATCCATCAGATTCATTGACGAAGAAAGGGTTGAGCTGATTGCTTCCAGCATGATTGAGCAAAAAAATTATTATACATGAGAACTGCAAATCATGCGAGAGGCACGGAAACTGAGAACACTGAAGCCATGGACACTCAATAAATCCTATACAGTTTGCGAGTCTATGAGAAGAACCAACTTCTAAAAGTGACCACACATACACACTTACACACACACACACACACACACAGACACACACACACACACACACACACATATATATATATATATATATATATATATATATATATATATATATATATATATATATATATATATATATATATATATATAATTCATTTATTTATTTTTGGATTGACAGCTCTACCTTTGCTGAAACATTCAAAAGCAATTTTAGACTAAAATAATTTTATTCCGGTACTCTCGCAGATCGCACCAGGAATGCCCCTCCCTATCATTTCCTAAATTTATCAAATAATATTGCTGATTATTACATTCGCATTTTAGTGCGTGCTCATTGTCATACTTACAGTGCGAATTGTTGCGGCCTGTCCTTGAAGAAAGCGTAGCTTCATCTCATTTGGAAAATAATTTTCGCGATAA